TCTTAATCAAGATCTATTCTACAAGAGAGATTCCTTAGAATTCTCTTAAAACTATAATCTACTAAAATGTAAGTTGAAAACTAAACTCATAGAACTCAAACTAAACTAAATAACTAACTAATTAACTAACTATCTGATTTTTTATCCTAAATTCACTAGCTAAGATACATCACTTTATATATTTTAGAGATTATATGAATAATACTTTTATTATGATACTTATGCTAGTTTTATTATAATTTAAATATTACTTTAGCTAGTATCATAATATTGATTTTATTATAATAGCATTATTAGTTTTGCTATGATAATTTTGCTAACTTTACTATGATAATTTTGCCATAATCATCATGTTTGCAAAATCTTCTAAGAATATCTACAAATAATATTCTCTAAAGCTAATATCTAATAAGATATAAAAAATTATTCATTCAATCATATTGTGATATGAAGTGACTAATAATATAATTAACTAATATTCTACTAAAAGTTTATATCACAATACTATGTAATTTTTATATTAATTTTAATCAAATTTTATATAATAAAAGAAAAAAATTATTAAAGTCTTAAATTATTTTAAATTATTATTTATAATAAATTCTTAATAATAATTAAAAGAAATATTTAGAATTTAATAAATATTTTTAAAAATTAAATCTTGAAAAATTATATAAAATTTTATTAGATTTTTATAATTAAGTTAATATTAAAAAATTATTTATAAGTAAAAAAAAATAAAATAAAAAAACTTATCTGGATTAGAAAATAAGAAAATAAATAAATAAATAAAATAAGAAAAAATAATCTAAAGTAATAAATTTAAGTTTAAATTATTCAGAAAAAATGATAAAAAATTGATTTAAAAATAGATTTATAAAAAGTATAATATAAATTATTTAATTTTTACTATAAAATTAAATTAATAAAAATAATGATATAAGAATATTTCAAAAATATAATCTTAATTTATTAGTAAAATTAGATAAAAAATAATAGCTATAATATATATAAATATATTTAAAACTTACTTGTTATTATTTTTAAATAACTTAAATAGTTTAAAAAATTATTTATTTTAAAAAGATAATATATTTATATATATTATAAAAATAGTTAAAAGAAATAAAATTAATAGTATTTCATAATTTATATAGAGTTCAGATCTGAATTTAATTGAAATTTTATGAAATGAACTAGAAAGATAAGTTTGAATACATATCTTATTATCAAAAAATAGAGAAAATTTATAAAAAATACTTTAAAAAGAATAATTAAATATAAATATTAATCAAAATCTTGTTAATAATATATCTTATCAAGTTATTACTATTATAAAAAGTAAAAATTATCTAATAAAATATTAGTTAAAAGTTATAATCTTTATCTTTTAAATAAAAAAAATTTATTAAATTTTAATATAGTAATTATTATTATAATTAAAATTTTCATTTATTATTTTATTATTTTTTATAATTATTATTTTATTTTATTGATCTATTATAATATTATATAACTTGTATTCCATTGATTATTATATATTTTATATAGTCTATTACAGAATGCTGAGATTTGAAGATAGTGATAGTGAAAAAGTATAGTAATAATTAGTAAATCTATCTTAAATCTTATTCACATTCAAGAATTATCTTTATAATTCAATATCACTTAACATAAAAACCAAAGAACTGGTAATAATATTATCATGTTACTTGAATTTAAAACTGCATTAAAATCGATCGGTGTCACGTGGTCGGTGACTTCTTTCCGCGCACTATCCGCGCACTATCCGCGCACTGTAGATGCAATATCGATATAATAACATATTTTCCTTTTTTGATGCGCCATTGTCATATTTTTTAATATTTTCCCTTTTTTGGCACATGATATAAGTCAGAACAAAAAAAAAAATAGAAACTTAAACATGAAAAATATGAAAAGAAATTTCGTTGTATCCGCTGCAAAAAAATGTAATAATAATGGTAATTTGATTTTTTATTACTTTGGAATTTTCATGTAGGAAATTTGATTTTGTAATCACAAAAAAATTGTAGGCCATTCTTTACTTTTTCCATCACATCTGAGCTATCGACGTGATTATCATCTCCATCGAACGTTTGCATCAATGGTGGGTCAAAATAAAGAGAATAACGTTGATTTAAAGAAAGGGTAATTTCGGGCAGTTCAATGCGACGCGATTATGGCACGATCCTCAAATAATCTATGAGATCAAAGCTTAATTCTGAAATTTCTACAGTATTTCACCACCACCAAAAACAGGCATAGTCTTTATGAACCTCGGAGGTCCAGCCACACTTGACCAAGTACACGACTTTCTACTTCGATTATTCTCGGATCGTGATTTGATACCGCTACCCTTTCAAAAGTATTCAGCGCCCTGGATTGCAAAACAACGAACGCCCCGAATACAGGAGCAATATGCGAAAATTGGAGGTGGATCACCGATTTTGTCGTGGACCGAAAAACAGGGAAGAGAAATGGTAAAGTTGTTAGATAGATTGAGTCCTGAGTCCGGTGATTATTGTTTAATAAATCATTACATAATTCTGGATTGCTTGTTGTTTGAATTGATTTCTTAATTTTTCATTTCAATGCATAGCTCCACACAAATCATATATCGCTTTTAGATACGCGCCTCCCCTAACGGAGACAACGATAGTTGAAATGCAAAAAGATGGTATTGAACGTGCTATAGCATTCACTCAGTACCCGCAATACTCTTGCTCAACTACGGGAAGCAGTTTAAATGAATTGTGGCGAAAGATTCTAGAATTGGATCCGAAGGGTACAATCAAATGGAGTATTATTGATCGGTGGCCAACTCATCCAGGATTAATCGAAGTATACATAAATAAATAACGTAGCATATGTATTTTTTTGCATCAAGATTGTAAATTTCAGAATATGTGTTAAATAACTAGGCATTTGCACATCGCATCGAAGCATCTCTCGAAAAATACCCGAAAGAAACACGACACAAAACAGTAATTCTCTTTTCGGCACATTCTCTACCAATGCTGGTAGTTAATCGTGGGGATACATACACATCCGAAGTAGCAGCGACGGTACATGGCGTGATGGAACGACTAAAGTTCTCTAATCCGTATCGACTGGTGTGGCAATCAAAAGTTGGTCCGCGAGCTTGGATGGGACCACGAACTAATGAAGCGATACTTGGACTCGGTAAACAAGGGCATAATGATATTTTGTTGGTGCCAATTGCTTTTACGAGTGATCATATTGAAACATTGTATGAATTGGATTTGGAATATGCAGAAGAAGCGGAAAAAGTATGCAACTTATAATTTATTATTTTATATAAGAATATACTTAATCTTTTTTTTTGACTCGAGATTTGAATTTATAGGCGGGCATCACTGGATTAAGGCGAGCCGAATCCTTGAACGATGATCCGATATTTATTCAAGCATTAGCGCAAATAGTAAAAAAACATTTAGAATCAGGCAAACCAGTATCCACTCAACTATCATTACGATGTCCAAAGTGTACTAATCAAACATGTCAGAAAACTAGGGATTTTTTCGCAAATCAGCAAATATAAATTGATTGACTATTATAGAATATCATTATAATCAGAAACATGTCCCTAATTTGATGCCATTACATTACGATATTATAAAACCTTTCTAATCCCTCGTTATCATTTTTCCTTTGATATGTTTGAATTATAGGCAAGAGTTCATTACTAGGGGATAATTGTTTTCCTTGACATTTTGCATATAAAGTCACCTCAACTGCATCGTGTAGTCTTTCTGCTTGACATAATGATTCAATGAACTTTTTGTAATTAACATAATCTAATGGTAATTTCTTTTCGATCATTCGTGAGAACACTTGCAATGCATCGTCTAATTGGCGATTTTTTAGTAGACTATTTATCATGGTACAATATAAGTTTCGTCGTAATTTCTCGGGGTATAAATAATCCGAATTCAAATTTTTTGACGATGATAGTGCACCAGTATTTGTTCCTGAATTTGTTGATGATGTGTTTAAAAAATGACGAGGATACTCCACGTTCTCCGGGGTATATCGACCCTCAAGCACCAATGATAATGATTTGGAATCCCCGATTAAATTTAGTGAAAAATATCTCATTCCAATTAACGAGCATATTCCAAATGTCAAAATCGCTAATTGATCACTATTTGCCTCCAATAAAACATTGTCGAATATTCCATCATCTGTTATACAAGAAGAGTATAAAATACATTTACCAAAAATTAATCCCCATCCCAGAGTTGTAGCAGCTTTTACCCAGTTAGAATCACGCGATAATAGAAATTTGAAAAGTGAAGGCTGGTGAGAATAGTGTCCAACAGATTCAGTAGCTGCTGCAGAAGAAACCACCTCCGCAGGCGTATCGATCATATTAAATGCTCGTTCCAAATCACCAGAATTCACACATGCATTTATAAAGTGTTTATAAGCATATGAATTAGGTCTTATATCTTGTTCTTGCATATCTTCTAATAAAGTATATATCGTATTTACGTGCCCTGCGCAAGCTAATACTGCCATGTAATGTGTATAGAGAAGGTGCTCTCTGCTATTTATATTGACGTGATCAAAGAATCGACGCGCTAATTTTAGTATGTCTTTAGTGGTATATGATTTTTTTGGAATATCTATCCAAAATTTTTGCATAGTTTCGTTTAAAACAGGAAATGACGATTTATTTTCCCCCTTTGCTATCTTTTTAGAGTTCGTGGTTCGAACAAGCCGTCTACAAACATTTAATGCAGCAATATAAACCTTCAAGTCAAGTGCAGCATTACTATGCTTATTGAATTCCGTTTTATAATAAAAAAATCGAGTAGCAGCCGAATGTAACTGCTCGAAATCTTTGCATCGTCTGAATTCATCTATCCAATATTCGGGTGACTTCGTTAGGAGTGTGAATGGGTGACAAATCGAAGTTTCTGAAGCTATCGTGGTCGTATTATCATTACAACATGCGGGATTGAAAAGTATGCGTGTAGTTTTGAGCCCACGCGGCCAATGCGTCGAGAAAAATGAAACATTTTTTCCCAAGTGCTTCAGTTGTAATGATGCGAGAATCGAGTAGGGTTTTACGATCGATTTGAGTATCTTTTTGTGCTGAAATAGTTGTGTAAATGCCATTGTTAAAAAAAGCGCGAAAATAGGTGTAACACACACATCTATAAAATGTTCATTCATTTACTATATCGAGAAACTCATTAATTTTAAAACGTTAAACGTTAATTACGTTAGTTACTGTTTCGAGTTTTACATTTATTATAAAAGAGATCGAGGTTCTTCTTTGAGTGAGTTTTCGATAATAATAAAAACTGAAACAACAATGTTCGACAATTACAGCATCGATTTTTTTATACGAATACTACTAAATTCGTTACTAAATCCCACGTTCGCACTATTATTCTTGTTTGCTATTTGTTTGCAAGGGTACTCCATTTCTTTTGTAGAGCCCGTTTTCGTGTGGACATGTGTATACTTGTTTTTCGTGTGTTTTTGTTGGAGTTTGGGGTGGTTCACTAGAGCATTAAGGAATGATGGCTTGCTGAAAAGTTTTGGTAGAAAGGAATTGACGTCATGGGATAATGAAATTGTTTTGGTGACTGGTGGTAAATGGATTTTTTATTGATTTTTGCAGAAAAGGGAATATGATCTGAATTGTTGGAATTGAATTGGCATTGCGTGGTATATTTTTGCATTTAGGCTCTCGAGGAATTGGTGGACTGTTAGCTGAAACATTGGCATTACGACATGTTAGCGTAG